TCTTTTGGCGGACAGAATTTAAAGACAGAGCAACAGATGATACCACATATTATGCTAAATATGAGGACAAAGGCACCGATTGCTATCAAAGCAATTTTGCCCCAACTCTCGAACCAACCTTTTTCTGGAGGGAAACAGTCGGGCAGTATATAAGTGATGTCTTTCTCCAAATTGCACTATAAATATGATTAAATTAATCTTTAAATCCATTATTTAATAATAAAAATACAGTTTTCGTTGTGTCGTCTATAGGTTTAGAGCAAAAGACTGGTCGTCCGTCTCGGTTAAAGAATATGTGGTATCCGATGATCCTATTATTGAATACATCGATACCTTCAACGATACCATCGATACTCTCAACAATCGATGGGTCGATGGTTTCGATAACTGTTTTATTTCTTCCAATCAATTTTCTGCACTGAGTTTTATTGGTCACTAGACTTGGGCTCTGTTTCGGGGAATAACACGATATGAGTGACCCTTTCCTACTGTAAATGACAACCCATTCATTAGTGCTATCACTCGATGCCCGGAATATGATAGCTTTGGGGTTGTAATTAGAAACTATGTCTGTGGTGTTAGTATTGCCATAATAACAATGGGTCTCAATAAAGTTGCTTACGATATAGTTTACGGTCTTTAATATAATTGAATACAATATTAACTTTTAACTAATGCTTTGATTAATGCAATTCAATGTATAATAACCTGATATTTGACATAACAGTCGTAATCATTACCACTGAATCTTTTGATAATCCCTTTACCAATGGGTGATAGATCTGACATTTTCCTTGATGGCACATCAAACTGCCATTGAATGGCATTTGTATACATGTAAGTCACTCTATGGACATTCGATCCGAACACTCCGATGCCTTCATATCTGCCTTTAGTTGTCATTAATCCACAAAAGTCTGTTTGACAGGGAATGGCATTTAGAGACACAATGAGTACAATGATTGCAATCATTTTCTGTATTAAAGTAAAGAACTGATGGCAGAGATTGTAATAACTGTTGGAAAATAGATAATAAATTTGTATTCAATTCTAACAATGAAAATAATGCGAGTTTTAGTTCAATTAATTTAAAACGATAATAAAACCAAATCACTGAAGATTGAGTAAATGTATGCATTAATATAACTATTGTTACAAAAATTATTTTAACACTAATACAAAGTATATGTTTAAAAATGGAGCCAAAGTATTCCCTTTGGACACATCATTGCCGGTATGTTAACCACAAACCAATGTTTAACTGTGCGAACTCGCCGTCGGGATCAACCAAAGCCAAGGTATAGTATTCGCCCTCTTCTGTGGGCCACTGGACTGTGGGCTCGTTTTTGACGGACAGTGGCGTCAACTCATAGCCCAGATCTATGTCAACATCACTCGCGTAATGAATATGTTGGTAAACTTAAAGTTTATTTATAATGACAATTTACATTACAATTATTGACATTTATAGATGAAATACTGTAGGCTTCAGATACTATTTATGGTTTTTATTTATAAAAATAACAAAAATATATGGAATATTTATATTGCATTAAAAATAAATTCCAAGTAAATTTTCAAAAAGTACACAAATATTAAACTGTCAATAATTAATACATAAAAGATATATAATTTCTCAATAAAACAATAGAATTTATAAATTGTGTCAAAATGTATAGAATATATAGGAATAGAAAATATAATAAATAAAAATCATTTAATTTTTGAGATCTTATTTCTCTTCTATTTTGTGTCTTTCGGTGAAGTCTTCTCTTCCATTATGTCTGTCTTTGTTTTGCACTAAAATTATAATTAAATTAACAATTTTTATACAATAATTGCTAACAACTATTACCCTATTCTTCGGGACAAACATAGATTTGTCACAAAAGACTGGCCGTCCGTCTCGTCTGAAGAATATATAGTATCCGTGGATTACATTTCCCGACGGGTTCTCAACGACATCATCGATACTCTTCACAATCGATGGGTCGATGAGTTCGATGACTGTTTGATTTCTACCAATCAATTGTTTGCATTTGGTTTTATCGGTCACTAGACTTGGGTTCTGTTTCGGTGAATTACACAGTATGTTTCGCCATTTCTTGTTGTAAATGACGACCCATTGGTTGTCACTTGCATTCGATGTCCGAAATATGAGGTCTTTGGGATTGAATTGATTGTCCGCATCAACAGTAGTATCGGAACAATTGGTCACAATTTTGTCATTGTTTGAAACCTTTGATATCAATTCAAAACAATGTAAATATTTAAGAAATGCTATAATAAAATAAATGGCAATGTATAATAACCTGAGGTCTGACATAACAATCATAACCTTTTCCACTGAATTTATTGATACTTTTATAACCAATGCGTGATTTATTAGAAGTCATATGAATACCAAATTTATTGTTTGTATTTTTCCATTGATAGCCATTATTATTAGGGTTGGCAATATGACAAACCATGTATTTTACGTATGTAATTTACATAGTATTTTACATGTATTTTACATGCACAGATTTTTCATTTTGTAAAA